GTGGATAAGTGAGTGAGTGAGTGATGCTCAAGGAAGAGAAGAGAGGAGAGCAGAGAAGAGTCACTAACATGTTGGAGAGGAGAAGTGAGGGGAGCAGAAGGAGTCGTCGTCCTCGTTGCCATAGAAACCCAGGCTACCTTTGGGCTCATCTGGTGTCACCAGTGGGGGTGCTATATCAGGCATCTCCTCCTCCTCAGGTTGCAATCCTGTCCCCTGAAGTGCAGAGATGTCCAGCTCTTCAGGCATTTCAATGGACACATCTGATAACACAAGCAACAGAAACAGAAATACTGGGAGCACATCAGGAACTGCATCCAAGCCAAGAGGAACTGGCTAGCAAGAACTGTGTCTGTTAAAGAACATGATCTACAGATACGAAAAGAACAAAGTTACGATGTATTCTAAAGAACAAATGCTGTGGAGTGGACAACCAACCTTCCAGGTACTTTAGGCAAACCACTATCCCATAGCCTCAGCATCCCCTATTTGCTTCTGCAGATAATATTGCCAGCCAGCAAGGCAACTTTGAAGATAACTGAGTCAGCACTTGAAATTCATGAGCACTTTATACACAGTAAAGCACTGGACTCAGAAAGCTTGAATTAGCAGCAATCACACCAGAATCTAAAACATCAATGATTTCTCAGTGACACTCTTACCAAGTTTTTTGGGTACCCAATCTAGGCCAAAAGTGAATTTCTTGATCTGGATCACTAGATAATCTGGAAAGGAGGCAAACCTGGTTGTTCTGAAAAGAGAAAGCAGCATTGAAGCACTTTATCTCAACAGTTCAGGAAAAACCAACTGAAAATGGTTCTTCCTCAAGAAATGTTCCAAGACACAGCTGTAACTGCAGGTTTAATTCTTTCCTTTCTCATAATCACCCCACTTTTTGTTTGTTATTCAGGAAATACTGTATATGCACCTCCATACCAAATAAATAAGGACAGTAAGCTGCACAACTAGCAAATTGCAAGGGCAATGTAAATCAACATGGATGGTTAAGATACACCAATAAAATGAATAAAATTGAATAAACTAAAGATAACAGTTGGTGGTCTTTGTATTAAAGGAAAATTGGGCATGATGGATTACACTCTATTGACCAACTTCCTAGTCTAGGGTACTTCTGAGTGCTCCCCTTTTTATTGAACTACACGTCAATTCAGACCACAGTTCAAGCTTAATTCTGACCTTCTGATTAGCAGCTCTTCTTCTGGCTTGTTCTGAGAGCTACTCATGATTTGTTAGCTTTGCCTGATTGCAGTGGGTAGAATCAGAGCACAGTATAGTAGCATACTGTTTATTAGTATGCTAATACTTATTAGTTTGTATTATCTACACTTCCTGTACAGATATATTTAGGTTTTTACAAATACTTTTTAAAAAGCAGCTTCAACTTTTTCATTTTTTTGAAATACATCAGATTTACAGATTTGATTATACAGTATTTTCTGCATTTCTAATGGAAATGTGTTGTTTTTAAAACTTACTTTGGAAAAAGTACCAGGAGAGTTGGGATTAACTGCATATAGGTAGTCCTTGCTTAACAACCATTCATTTAATGATGGTTCAAAGTTATGATGACCTTGGAAAAGTGCTTTACAACCTGTACTTGCACTTACAACCATCGCAAACCGTAGTACCACCCCCCCGTGGTCATGTGATCGCAATTTGCAACCTTTTTTACGATGGTCATTAAGCGAATTATGCAGCCGTTAAGCAAATTCTGGCAAAAATGTCCATCGGGGAAGCTAGATTCACTTAATGACATGATTCGCTGAACAACCATGGTGATTCACTTAACAACGGTCGTAAAAATGTTCATAAAATTGGATCTGATCATGTGGTGACTCGCGTAACTGCGCCACTTAACAACCAATTTTCCAATTTTTTTATTATGATCATTAAGCCAGGATTACCTTATTAAACCAGATGTGCTCATTCCCTAGAATAGCATATTTGTTGTAACCCTTACTCCTGTTTCTACTTACTGAAAATGTGCAAATCTCTCCCACGCTGCTTCTGATCTAGCAGGTGTCCTCTTTATTTAGCAATGGAGTAAGCACTTGTTATTGCCTTCTTGTTAAATTCCTCAACCTTTACACTGAACACTTTCCTAGCCCAGATGCTCAGGGACAACTAAGTTGTATATACAAGGGTGCGAACTTGGCCAAGTAGGACCCAAGGTGTAAAAGTTGCATTAATTGCTCCAAATTTTAAAACATTAAGCAAAAGTATATACTAAGCTTGCAATCATATAGAAGAGATTATAAAACACTTGATGTAATGAATACATCAGGATATTACTGACACACTGAAGTTGCGTCTCATTTGCATTTAAGAGAATACAGAAAAAGTCCTTTACAGTTTCCAGCTTAAGGGGTCCCAGCAATTCTGAATGCCACCTAAGACCTCTTGTTTCTGTGGATCAAATCTTCAATTGGCTGGAAGGGGCCAATTCTTATAGGCTGGTTGTACAAAGCATTCTGAGCTTAGAATATTCTAGGCTCAATATGGCTGCTTCATACATTCTGAAGCATGGAGCAAAAAACTCCAAGTCCTAAAGTTTTATCCTAAATTTGGATCTAAATAGGACACATTGTTTTATATTATTTTGGGTTCACATACTTGGCTTTTAAAATACTGTCCTATCCAAGGAGTCCTGAAAAGTGCATTAGTCAATAAAACAGTAGACCTGGATTTCATCCCTGATGCCACTAGATACAGCTAGGTGAAAGGAAGAGTGAAAATGGAATGGGGGAAAGGAGGAGTCTGTTAAACATATACTATATTCAGATTAAGGAGAACCATTTTGAACATAACTGATGCCTCCCTGGTAACCAAACTTCATTACCATTTTTAAATAGGTATGTAAACATTTTGTCCAATTTTTTTCAGGCTGGATGCCAGATGCAAAACTCTGCACTGTGAATGTGTATTGCAAATGTGACTGCTATCCTGTAGAGCTTAAAGGGTGCCAACTACAGACACAATATTATTTTGCTTATTGTTGAGCTGTGCAAGTAGCTTGCCAAATGTAAACATGTGTAGTTTGAATGTATTTTAAGAAAAAGCTTCAAGCCAATGGTCAAGGACTTACGCTGTTTATGAGGCTGCACCAAACTGAATCTGTTTTGGGGTTTTTGCTGAGTTCAGTTTTCGGTGGCTATTTAAGTACAATATGCAAAATGTATGCTTCTTCTTGCTTCCACTGTTTGCTATAATTTTTTTATATTCCATTGACCAACCTTTTTATAGATTGAGTGTTTGCGTATTCAGCATGGACTACCACCCTAACGATTTTTGTGGCACTAGAGTGAAAACTAAAGGGATGGAGTAAACAAAACATTCTGAGTTCTGTTCTGCTGTCATGTTCCAAGTGGTGGTATCAGACTGACATGGGGATCCGAGGTTAAATGGGAGCCCGTGAGGTATTTTTAGTTTACTGAATTGGATTTTACCTTGGTGGTCATTATAAGTTTTATATATTAGTTGTTTTTTGTTGTTATTTTGTATGTTTTTTTAACCTGTTGTTAGCTATCCAGTTGAATAAAATTTGAATAAAATAAACAACCAAACAAATAAATTAAAAGTAACTGGATCAGAGAAGAAGCATTAGCATGATTCTTTATCTCCCACATATTTCTAGATTCTCATATTACCAAAATGTCGTTAAATGAAATTACACAGGAGAAGCTACAGCTAGACAAAACTAAACAGGACATGCCCCACCCCCCAACACAAAGGTCGATATGACAATCTCTTATTTTTCCAAATAAGTATGTAGGGGGAAAAAACTAAGCAGATGATAAGACAAGGGAGGGTAGATTCATTTATTTTAGAAAACCGAAAAATAAAATTGAATTAAACTCATTTATTATGAAACTAATTAAAAAAAAACGAATTAACATGAAATAATGCTGTTTCTATTCGCTCACAATCCTGCTCACTTTGGTTTGCCCAAGCAGGTTTTCCTTTTTTTTTTTTTACATTCTGAAGTTTTGTTTTCAAGACTATACTCAGAGTTATTTAAATGTATTTAAGCTACAGATTCAACTTGGGCTAGTCCAAGAATTTTAACTCTGGAAGCATGTGGCTTCTCAGATCCCCTCGCTGTCCCTTTTCAATTATCGCCCCTGTTCTGAAAACTGACAAATGGACCTGTTTGTTACTCCTCCATCAAGCCAGTTTGGTGTGGACTCTTTCTGCCCAGTTCACATGGCTTACCCCCATGCCTTTTGCATCTATTACAAATGGCAGAGAAAGCAGAATACTTTTTTCCTCTTTATCTGAAAGTTGGCAGAGACAGATTCCTTGGGGAGAATAATAGAATGCCATGGCGATTTTATGCCAGTGGACTGACAAGTAGCCCAGTTATGGGCAGAAGCGTGGCAGGTATTTTCATTCATTCAGGAAAAAAATAAAAAAATGTATTAGAATGAAAAGCACACAAGCTTCATTAGAAAAGAAATCAATTCTACCCAAGAAGCTGATTTTAATCCTGACTTTTTTTTCTTGTACACCCATACTTGCCTCCTGGCGAGCCCATCTCCCTGCTCTTTCCACTCACTTGAGTGCCACAGACTTGGCTTGCAAGGCTGTGCTCCAGAAGTCGTCAACTTGTTCTGGGGCTCCATAGGCCTCAAGACAGGAGGTGAAAGGTACCTTGGCACGGACCAGTTCTGGCAGTGGCTGCTTTTTTTCTTCTGCCTGTCGTTTCTTTTCTTCATATTCTAGCAACTCATCTGCAAATGAAAGCAAAGGGGAACAAGGTCTACTCCTTCCGAAGTCGTTTGCAGAAAGAAGGTCGATGTACAATATGAAGCAGCAGCATGTTGAGCTGCAAGTCATGGAAAGAAGTCTGGCAAGCAATTCTCCTGAAATGTCCATTGCTGACAAATCCTGCTTATGTGTCAGCTGTCCTGCCTGTGGCATAGACAGGACCTGCATGCGCAAGGGCATGTCAACAATTCTGCAGTAAACTGGTGTTCAAATATATTCTTGGAATGCGCTATGCAGTGGGGAGTCTTCCGGGCAGGCATGGCAAACTAACCGTCTCCAAGCGAGTGGAGACAATGACTGAGGCAAAGACCAAAGAAATGGTGAGTATACCAGTTCTACAGAACCTCTCCGGGTAAGGAGAGGATGGGAGATTACATGTGCTCCGGATGGCTGCTCCTCACGAGGAGACCACAGGACCGCGGTCTTCCACAGGTTTGAGTGCTGGGAGATGAGGGGTACAGCCATCATGCTCACAACCATGGCGGAGCCTTTTAAAGGACACCAAGTTCACTAACCTCACTTTCTAATCACTTTCGGAAATTGCCTATTTACTACCTTAAGACTATTAGAGATCTTCGGAATGACAAGTTTAAAAAAGCTACCTGGTGAGTTTACCGTCATTCTTGAACAAAAGAAAAATTAATTACACACCTAGGAATTTAAAGAATTGGAAATAAATGGCAAAAAGTGAAATAAGATTTTGACTCAAGAAAGTTATAAAAGAATTAAGGATCCAGATGAATGTGGAATATTAAGACTTTATTACAAGTTTTGGAAATAATTATATAAATAAACTTTTCATGGAAACTAAAATGTTTTGGCTATCTTAAGTCATAACAGAAATTGGAGACTTTACGATTTCAGAAATTGGACACTAGAGGAGACTAAAGATTCTAGACAGATAAGGAAAAGGGAGAAAACAGTGAAACCTTGCATTTTGTTTTCAGTTAGCACTGAATTTACAAAATGACAGAAAACACCGTGACATTGGAAACACTCCAGGAGACTTCTGAAGAATGGGATCTGTCAGGCTCGGCCAAAGAACAACGATGAAACAGTTCAGTCCAGTCCAGTTCCTTTATTTGCTTACACCCTCTAGACAGAATCTCACCAGATGAACTCTACACTACAGCAACTAGAGGATATACCCCGTGAGAGTCTAGGGAGGGGCTAGTCTAAGCCTCTTCTTCTTCTCATGGTCTTGCTGTGGACTGAGAAAGCGCTTGCCTTGTCCCCCTTTCTGGAATGCACC